CTTGCAATACCAATTTTACTGAGCCAAAAAGATACACAGGTATAATGATGATAATCAAATATATTTCATAAAGATAGTGAAGGGAAAAAATTGAGAAAAGCGACATTGAGATAACGATAGTTGACTGTATAATTATTATATATATGTATGTAATATCCAAAGAATACCCTCATTTTATAATGTATCATTTGTATTATATAGCTTTCAATTTTATCCTTTGCTTTTACTTTGTCGGATGAGCTAGTGATATTGAAATTAGTAAAAAGACGTGTTAGCTTTCTTCGTATTAAGATAAAATATAGAATGTTAAAATTTTTAAAACATTTCAACTTTTAGCTCAACTAATCAGAAAGTAGCTTGAGTTATTCTCTTGAGTTATTCACCTGTGCATAGGGATCACATCCATATTTAGTTAAAAGTTTGGCGCATGTAACTTCATTTCTTGTTGACCACTGAAGGTTTTTGCTCTAAACTTTACACAGTCATGTCACAGGGATCATTATTGTAGTCACTTTCTTAATCCAGGGTCCAAGACAGACAGTTGTGGAAACTGTCAAAGTGGGGGTATATTGCTTTTCATTTGTCTGTTGGTCTGTATGTCTGTCCCTAGACCAAATGGTTTCCGATCAATAACTAAAGAACGCAAAGGCCTAGGAACTTCAAACTTGTTATGATGATTGTTCATGACCAGTAGATGACCTATATTGATTTTGAAGTCAAGGGGTCAAAGGTCAAGGTCACATGGACCTTGAAGGTAAAACGATTTCCGATCAATAACTAAAGAATGCTTAGGCCTAGGAACTTCAAACTTGGTATGATGATTGTTCATGACTAGTAGATAACCCCTATTTTGGTGTCAAGGGTCAAAAGTCAAGGTCACATTGACCTTGTAGGTAAAAAAGGTTTCTGTGCAATAACTAAAGAATGCTTAGGCATAAAAACTTCAAAATTGGTATACTTATTGTTCATGACCAGTAGATGACCCCTATTGATTCTAGGGTCAAGGGGACAAAGGTCAAGGGCACATTTACCTTGTAGGTAAAATTTTCCGATCAATAACTTGATAGCCCATGGGCTGTTGGCCCTCAAACTTTGTAGGTGCATTGGACATGGCCTATTGATTTTCGCGTCAAGGAGTCAAAGGTCAAGGTATTTTAAAATGTAAACACATTTACCATCACAATCTTCATGTTATATTTGCTATCTTCATGTACAGATAACTGTAACCCAACGAATATTCGCGACCAATTAATATTCGCTTTATTCGCGGATGGTCACGAAACGCGAATATTTGTTTGCGCGAATAAGTCTGCACGATTTCGCGAATAAATTAGAGAGAAATTTTTATTTTAGACGTTGTTCATGCAAAGCTACTTGACCGGATATATTCGAATTTTACGGGCACCTGTTAGGAAGTAATGAATTGTTATGAATATTGCCATAAAGCAATAAAAACACAAACTGAGTAAACTACTACTATTTTATAAATATCAAAAGAACTCTATGTCAATATAGCAATCAAAATATCAGTAGAATACCGCTTTTAGTACAGGTGAGAAGTGCAGTAATTTGCCTTTTGTCCTCAAGTTCAGTGACCTCGACCTGTTTGGACCCTATAAAATAAATTTTTGAATAAATCGTTTGACAAAAGTGGCAAAACTATCGAGCATCACAAAAGGCTATTGTTTTTTGGATCCTATAAAATAATTGTTTGAGACAAAGGTGGTATAAATCTATCGAGCATCACAAAAGGGTATTAGGTGTAAATAATTACAAACAGTGAAATTCAAGATGGTTTCATACTTAGTATCGAATTTTGCCGTCAAACTTAACAGCCTGTATAGCTCAGTTGGTTAGACTGCGGACTCACATAACATAATTTTCTCGGCGTGGGTTCGATCCCTGATGGGAGAAGGTATTTTTTTATGAAAAGCTTAAATTGAATTTCCAATCCGCGAATATTTTCTGAAATCAAGAAAACGCGGAAATTAATATTAGCGAATATGTCTGACCTCGGCAAAACGCGAAAATTTGTATTCGCGAATATAAATTGGGTTACAGTATATTAATATTCTTGAATTTGTTACACTTGAGACTGGCCCCTAATTCTGCAGTTACTGCCCAGCATACATACATTTTGCTCTTATTTTCACATTCTTGTTGAAGGTAATGTTCCTTGTTATGAAGCCTATCACAGTTTAAATAATTCCATTCCAATCATCTTCAAAAATCTTCTCAAGAATTTGAAATTGCCCAGAGCATTGATACTTGATATAATTATGTCTTAAGACTAAATTTCTCATATTATTATGTGAAGACCAATGGTTTTTTATTGTTTTAACATTAGGCTCATTTAGTTAAAAATTATGAAACTGGCAAAATATATATAAACTTTTGAAATCAGTAGTTCATGAGTCATTTGAAAGCTCTGTTTAAGCAACCAATATCATCATCCCCGTCTTTGGTAAACCAGATTTCAAAACATGCAAACACAAAAGGCAGCAGCATGATCGAAAATGCACCGGAATGAAGACTGTACGCCATGGCCTTCAGATAAAAAAATTGCCCTTTCCCCAGGTTTCAGTCAAGTTTATGTAAACTTACATAAGTGAAAAACTTGAAAAATCTTTTCATCAGAAACCACAAGACCTGGTTTAGTAGACTATCCTTGTGTAAAACGGCCTAGTGGACAACTCCTAATTTGTTTTATAAATTATGGCATTTCAAGGGTCAAAGTCTTGGCCACTATGGCTATAAATAGATTAACCTACTTTGCTAAGATAGTTGGTACCTTGCACTGACCTCTTCCTGTATGCACTCTTTTAGCATGACATGAACATAGTGGAATGCTTCATTCAGATGGTTGATAAAATGACCATCATTCAAATAATGTCATATAGCACAAAATTTACTGATTTATTTACTTTTCCACTTGTGATTTGTTCAACTCTCCATTTTTGGTCTGTGTCTATTAACCTGTTATCACATAACTCCATGTTCTACATTACTATAAACTTTGATCAGGTTCTGAAAGTTGCCCTCTTCTTCTGTTGTGCATGCTCTAAGTTAACAAAATTTTAAAGTTTATAGAATAGAACATTTAATTATTAGCTCACCTGTCACAAAGTGACAGGGTGAGCTTTTGTGATCGCTTTTCGTCCGGCGTCCGTCCGTCCGTCCGTCGTCCGTCCGTCGTCCGTCCGTAAACTTTTGCTTTAAATGACATCTCCTCATAAACCACTGAGCCAATTTCATCCAAACTTCTCAGGAATGTTCCTTTGGTGGTCACCTTTAAAAATTGTTCAAAGAATTTAATTCCATGCAGAACTCTGGTTGCCATGGCAACCAAAAGAAAAATCTTTAAATATCTTCTTTTAAACAACCCTAAGAGCTAGAGCTTAGATATTTGACATGAAACATCTTCTAGTGAGTGTCTACCAAGTTTGTTCAAATAAAAGCCCTGGGGTCAAAATTGGCCCCGCCCCAGGGGGTCATTGATTTTCCCTATATGCATATAGTAAAAACTTAAAAGATCTTCTTTTAAAGATTTCAAAGAGCTAGAGCTAAGATATTTGGCATGAAACATCTTCTAGTGAGTGTCTACCAAGTTTGTTCAAATAAAAGCCCTTGGGTCAAAATTGGCGCCTCCCCGGGGGTCATTGATTTTCCCTATATGCATATAGTAAAAACTTAAAAAATCCTCTTTTAAAGAACCGTAAGAGCTAGAGCTTAGATATTTGGCATGAAACATCTTCTAGTGAATGTCTACCAAGTTTGTTCAAATAAAAGCCCTGGGGTCAAAATTGGCCCCGCCCCAGGGGGTCATTGATTTTCCCTATATGCATATAGTAAAAACTTAAAAAATCTTCTTTTAAAGAACCCAAAGAGCTAGAGCTAAGATATTTGGCATGAAACATCTTCTAGTGAGTGTCTACCAAGTTTATTCAAATTAAAGCCCTGGGGTCAAAATTGGTCCAGCCCCGGGGGGTCATTGATTTTCCCTATATGCATATAGTAAAAACTTAAAAAATCTTCTTTTAAAGAACCATAAGAGCTAGAGCTTAGATATTTGGCATGAAACGTCTTCTAGTGAGTGTCTACCAAGTTTGTTCAAATACAAGCCCTGGGGTCAAAATTGACCCTGCCCCAGGGGGTCATAGATTTTCCCTATATGCATATAGTAATATCTTAAAAAATCTTCTTTTAAAGAACTCAAAGAGCTAGAGCTAAGATATTTAGCATGAAACATGTTCCAATGGGTGTCTACCAAGTATGTTCAAATAAAAGCCCTGGGGTCAAAACTGGCCCCGCCCGGGGGGGTCATTGATTTTCCTTATATGTGTATAGCAAAAACTTAAAAATCTTCTTTGAAAAAACCCAAATAGCTAGAGTTTAGATATTAAGCATGAAATATCTTTAAGTAAATATCTACGAAGTTTGTTCAAATAAAAGCCCGGGGGTCAAAACTGGCCCTGCCCCAGGGGTGTCATTGTTTTTAACTATATGTGTATAGTAAAAACTTTAAAAATCTTCTTTTAAAAAACCCAATGAGCTAGAACTTAGATGTTTAGCATGAAACATCTTCTTATGGGTGTCTACCAAGTCTGTTCAAATAAACAAATAAAAGCCCTTGGGTAAAAATTGGCCTGGGGGTGGGGGGGGGCCTATATACAGGTGAGCGACCTCAGGGCCATCATGGCCCTCTTGTTATATTATTCATTTACATCTGATGTAATGTGTGTAAACATCACTAAATATCTTTCATTTTGTAAGCATGTAATTATGATCATTTTGTCTTAATATGATTAGAAAGAACAAGGTTGATATTGAATAGGGTGATGTGAAATGACTTTAAATCAATAAAATAACATTGAAAGGTCTTTAAAATGATAATGTTGATATTGTGTGTATATATGTTGTAAAACACTGTTTTTATTAAAAATGCTACTGTCCTTATAATTATAATTTTTGTTAAAGTATTAAATTTGTTTATTTTAAAGAATGTTAAAGATGATGGAACCCATGTGTGGAGATTGAAGCATTTCAACAAACCAGCTTACTGTAACTTATGTCTTAATCTGCTAGTTGGCCTTGGCAAGCAAGGTTTGTGCTGTACATGTAAGTATATTATCATCTTATATTGTTTCATATTGTTTGCTGGCTCACAATTTTTTTATGTTAAAATACCACATAATGCCAGTTATATATATTTATATTACATATAAATGTATGCTGCTGTTCATGTGCATGTGCTCTTTTAAAGTCACCAAATCACAAAGTGTTCAACATGAAGTGTAACAATTGCCCCCTGTGTTTTGTATATATGTCTCATTATAACTGTCACAACTTTGGCTTTAAAGGAGCTCCATTGACATCATTGCACAGCTTCTCAATTTAGGGTTGCTTTTCACAATGAAAATGATTATTTTGGAGAAGGAAAATTTGCATACAAGTTATTGGTGTAGAGAGAGGAGTCCCTATAAGTTAAATTCAAATGTTTGGTCAGTTATGATGGAAATAATAGAACTGATACTACTTTGGCCCAGTTTTAAATTATTTATAAAACTTGATCAAAATTTTTTTAAAATTTTGGTCAAGGTCTAAGATGTCAAAAATAGGATAGAAAATTAAATTATTGAAATATTAAAGAAATGCTTTTTCGTATCAACCAATAGATTGATCATGACAAATTTCTAGCATTCTTAGATGGTCTGCATCTGTTTATCTCCTTGCAAAAAATAATAGTTAATTAACATAGAGATATTTACGCAATAAGCGATTAACAGTTTCAGTCTTGCCCTGTCAGTGCTTTTCAGGCTAAATTGTTCTATAGCTGATGAAATGTTATAATGAAATGTTTTAAAAATGATTAAAGCAAATGTAATCGCTCATTTCTTGATGTACATCTCTGTGTTTGTAAAAAATACACTGCAATATTTTGACATGGATAGTAAAGAAACAAAGTTCTGCGACAAAAGTTGTGTTTTGTGGGTTTTTTTAAAATGTTTTTAATACATCATTATAGCATTGATTTTCAGTTTGTAAAGGCACCATTATTGCTATGATTTTCAATTTGTAATTTTACAATTATTGCTATGATTCTCAGTTTGTAAAAGCACCATTATTGCTATGATTTTCAATTTGTAAATACACAATTATTGCTAATTTTAAGTTTGAAAACTCACAATTATTGCTATGATTTTCAGTTTGTAAACTCACAATTATTGCTATGATTTTCAGTTTGTAAATTCACAATTATTACTATGATTTTGAGTTTGTAAACTCACAATTGTTGCTATGATTTTCATTTTGTAAACTCACAATTATTGCTGATTTTCAGTTTGTAAATACACAATTATTGCTATGATTTTCATTTTGTAAATTCACAATTATTGCTATGATTTTCAGTTTGTAAATACACCGTTCATGAGCGTTGTGTACATCGTGCTCCTGCATCCTGCATCACAACCTATGTGAAATCCAAAAAGACTTCACAGGTAAGAGAAAACAATAGTGTAAAATTCTGGAGACCATTTTGACTTCCTACATATCTTTTACAATTCCATTTTTTTTTTATAAGATTTTCACTGAGAATTTAAAAAAAGAAAGAAAAAAGATTAAAGAGCAGTCTTGCACTAAACCAGTTTCAAAACTGAGTGAAGAGTTTGACTATGCTATTGTTTGACCAGAGTTTCAGTTTCAGTCAGACTTAAATGTTTGTAAAGTTAAGGACTGGTGGCTGTTTATTCTTAACTATCCAACTTTAATTTTGAAACCAGTGGGAAATTTGCCTTGTGTGCTCCTTGCATGAATCTCGACCAAAGTTGTTCAAATGTTTCTGGTCCATTAAACATGCTGGCCACAGAAGTCCATTACACATGCTGGCCACAGACATGCATTACACATGCTGGCTACAGACATCCATTACACATTCTGGCCACAGACATCCATTACACATTCTGGCCACAGACATCCATTACACATTCTGGCCACAGACATGCATTACACATGCAGGCCACAGACATCCATTACACATTCTGGCCACAGACATCAATTTACGCATTCTGGCCACAGACATCCATTACACATGCTGGCCACAGATTTCAATAACACATTCTGGCCACAGATGTCAATTATACATGCTGGCCACAGACATCCATTACACATTCTGGCCACAGATGTCCATTACACATTCTTGCCACAGACATCCATTACACATTCTGGCCACATACATCCATTACACATGCAGGCCACAGACATCCATTACATATTCTGGCCACAGACATCAATTTTACGCATTTTGGCCACAGACATCCATTACACATTCTGGCGACAGATGTCAATTATACATGCTGGCCACAGACATCCATTACACATGCTGGCCACAGATGTCAATTACACATTCTGGCCACAGATGTCCATTACACATTCTTGCCACAGACATGCATTACACATGCTGGTCACAGACATCCATTACACATTTTGGCCACAGACATGCATTACACATGCAGGCCACAGACATCCATTACACATTCTGGCCACAGACATGCATTACACATGCAGGCCACAGACATCCATTACACATTCTGGCCACAGACATCAATTTACGCATTCTGGCCACAGACATCCATTACACATGCTGGCCACAGATTTCAATAACACATTCTGGCCACAGATGTCAATTATACATGCTGGCCACAGACATCCATTACACATTCTGGCCACAGATGTCCATTACACATTCTTGCCACAGACATCCATTACACATTCTGGCCACAGACATCCATTACACATGCTGGCCACAGACATCCATTACACATGCTGGCCACAGATGTCCATTACACATTCTGGCCACAGACATCCATTTTACATTCTGGCCACAGACATCCATTACACATGCAGGCCACAGATGTCCATTACACATGCTGGCCACAGACATCCATTACACATTCTGGCCACAGACATCCATTACACATTCTGGCCACAGACATCCATTACACATTCTGGCCACAGACATCCATTACACATGCAGGCCACAGACATCCATTACACATTCTGGCCACAGACATCCATTACATGTGTTGGCCAGAGATGTACACCACAGACATCAATTACACATTCTGGCTACAGACATCCATTATATATGCTGGCCTTACACATTCTGGCCACAGACATCCATTACACATTTTGGCCACAGACATCCATTACACATGCTGGCCACAGACATCCATTACGCATGCTGGCCACAGACATCCATTACACATTCTGGCCACTGTTCTCTACTATTATTTCCTGACTACAAAACATAAAATAGATGCACTTAAACTTTCTATAGACTTACCTGAGTTAGCTTGAGAAATGTCTGCATGAAGAAATTATATTTACAAGCTGATCATATGTTTTATTTGAGTTCAGGTTCTACAATTATGACAAAGGTTTGGTCATAGCAGTACATTGTCAATCTCCACACATTAGTGTTTATAAATGAGATAAGAGAAATGTCAGAGTGGTTCTCCAAGATAATATTACTGTGGCTGCTAGGCTATTATTTCGGCTGTAAGCTTTCCTCATATATAACACTCTCATATTTCTATCCAACTTCTAACTTTCTATAGTTCTCAACCTTTATGCAATGCAATATAGAAATAAATGCACTTCAACTAAAAGATTTTTTTGTGACAGAAAAAAAGGCATACTGGTGTTTTGCCATTTAATAATCTTTATAGTTTTACTAGAAGTGATCGTCAGTGGAGGAGTGGTTAAGGTTGTTGACCACTTGGTTCTCACCGCTGATTGTTGAATTCTGCCAGGGACATTGAATTCTTTATATGAGGAGCTATTAAGCTAGCTTGCAGAACATAAGTGGTTGTTCTTGGGTGCTTGTTTGTGCCTGAAATAATGCAAAAAGGGGCACTGGAGATCTTCCTTCCGCCAGTTAAGCCGGAAAGTTGCCATATGACTTTTACCTTGTTGGTTGTTGGTTAAACCCAACCAAAAAAAAAAAAAAATTGAAAAAATTGTTATACTCAAAATTCTCATAAGTGTACAATCAGCAACTGATTATTTTTATGAGACTAAGTAGTCTCAGACAGTTCCATATCCAAAACATACTGGCTTGTTTCCTTAATTACATGTAAATTGTTATATTTTATAATTATGTCTAAACCATAAAAGAGTTATTGTTATTTAGAAAGTAAAATCATTTTTCTTTAATGTTTATTGCTCATATTAGTGCTGAATTAATTTGAAGAAATTAAGGTGGGTAATAATAACTGAACAACCCTTAGTGTATCTAGGAATGACATGAATTGTTCTAAATTTACCGTTTAGTAATTGAAACTGTTATATGGTGTAACAGTTTTAGTTTAAAAAATTTATACAGACACACATTACATTATTTACATGTTAAGGTTATTTACATGTGTAAGATATTAATAAGTTGTTGCACTTACTTTGTTTACTATGAATGGACTTGTACAATCAGTGAGCTTGTTTCAGAACACATAAATCAGTACCAAACCATGTAAATAGTGTCTGTATGTCCAACATTTATTGTGAGACACAGACATAGTTGATGTCAATGATCAGAAGTACACTAGTCTCTAATACTAAATTTATATAGCATAAGAGAATCAAATTTAATAATGGTTAAATAAAGTTGTTAATATTAAATAGCTTATAATATGAGAATAAGGTTCTGAAATTAATGTCTGTAATTTATTCCACTTTTTGATGAAAATTGTTATGATCCACTTGTCAGCATTGGTTAACCTTTTTGGTTAAATTTTTCCTATATGGTCAATACTAAGGATGCTATGACATTGAAACTTAATAATGTTGATGTACCTATGTGAGTTCTACTAGTCACAATGATTTTTATGTCAATAAGGTCAAGGTCACCATGACTTATAATAGGCTAAAGTCTTTTTTTTTCAGAAACTATCAAAGCTATTCAACTCAAACTTACATACTTCTTTAACAAAATGTGATCCCCCCTTTTTAACTTCAAGTATTGTTGCCCTGTTTAATTTTTTTGTTCAAGTTAATTTCTCAAAAACCATGTAAGGTGTTCACTTGAAACTTGAATGCTTGATCATTATCAAATTTGGAATGCATTTGTAAAGAGCAGATAACCCTAAAAATCATTTTGCTTAATTTTCTCCCTTTTCATGTTTTTTTCAAATTGTCTTAAAACCCAAAACAGTCACTTCAAACTTGAAACATTCATTAACTATCAAGGGCAAGTAACTATGCCAAACAGGTGACATAATTATGCCCCCTTCCTGACTCTACTTTTATCACTGAGAATGGTTGAACAGCTCCTGCTCCCTGGAATACTTCTTGTTTTATTATTAGTCAACAAATAATATTATGAGGCAAGTGCTATATTTAAGATAATTGATAAGTTATTTATGAGATATATGTTACAATATGAGGCAGTTTCTCTTCAACTCTGTCATCTGTATTATAGCAACCTTCACAGGTATGTATCTATATAACTTCTACTTCTCTTAAAGGCAGATTGGCATGTTTTCAAAGTGAACCTCTTTTTCATTGTTTACGTTTATTTGAGTCACTGATAGTTTTTTTTATTATAATTCACTCAGAAAAGAAATATTGAGATCAATCTATAAAATATAATGCATATTTTTCTTTTTCTGTATTTTCACTGTAAAAATTTATTTTTCACTGTATTGAACATATTTTCCATATTTTCACTGGTGTCTTGCCAAACTACTTCCTTCTAAATTCACATCAAATGAATAATAAACAAAGAAAGTAAATCAATGGTAATAACTATTAAATGATTTATACAGAAAAAAAGGATATAATAAACAAAAAATTAAAGTTTTTTCTTTAAATACAGGATTTATTTTCATCTCGTAGTATGAGAAATATCATATTTTTCTCGTGGCTACCACTACTTGTGAAATATTTTTCATACCACTCTATTAAAATAAATCCAGTATTTATAGAAAAAAACTTGAATATCCTCTATTATATTTTTTTACATGTAAAAATTATTAAGTTACTTTCCTGATAATTATTTAATTGTGTAGTTATTTATTTTCTAGACCATCTTATTAATTTGATTGTTGTCATCATTGAGATGTTGTTACTATGGAAATATGTTACCATGGATTTGTTATCACTGAAGTGTAATCACCATGGAGATATTTTTTGTTACCATGGAGTTGTAACTTACCTTAGAGATTTTAATGATTTAGGAACAGTTGAGAAACTAGAAACACTAAAAATGTAACACTTTCAAATCTAATATATTAGGGTAACGTTGACGCAACACAGTAAATTATCAGTTCAGTGTTAATTGTAAACTTTTTATGCTCTTTAGAACTGAAAGTCAACATTGTGCTGTGAAGTATCAGTAAAAACATCATTAGGATTTTCAGGTTTAATTTCATGTCCCCATTAAGTTGACTGTTCATCATGTTTTACATGATTTTTAATCTGCCTCTAAGAAAAACTATAAGTGTTGTTATTTGAAGTTTCAGCTCTGATATAAGAGCTAATTTCAATAAAGTTTAGTCAATGAGAATAATTGTGCATGTTTTATTGTTGCTTAAATAATGTATGCCTTTGTTGTGTAAACAAGATTTGAGGCTGTGTACTATGTCCTGCTATATTTAGTAGCTCATCTTACACCTAAAGTTATTGGTAGACTTATATAATTCTGGTTACTAGATTTCTGGCTAAACCTGCTAAGTTAAACGTTCTAACAAAATCGAAAAATCAAAATGTTATTTCATTGAGGGACACAAAGCAAATGTTATTGATAATATAGATAATGGAATTTTAAAAGAAGATGAAAACTCACAGTACTGTTGCTAATTTAGAATCTTGGTATTTGGCATCATAACTAAATGCTAAACACTCATTTATTTCAATGTAGATGAAACATAGCAAAACCTTACAGAGTCATTTTAACAGTATTTTTATCTATTTGAAACAGAAACATTTTGTTATATATACATACAATTGATAGGGTTGGTTTTATTATGATGACATATTGAGGTGGTTGTAGAGAAGTGATTGGTAGAGCAGTTGAGTTAGCAATTCTACTAAAAAATCTACAACCAGTATATGAGTGTTGTACCAAACACAGAAATATTATTATGATTATTCTAACACAACCCACATTTTTCCCTATTGAACATAGAAGAACCAAAAATCACTGTTTGACATTCTATATTTAGACAAGTAACGTAATCATTATACACATGACATTAACACTAAAAATGTGACGCACTGACAATAAGTACGGAAACAAATCAGACACAATTTAGGTTAATATCAAGTACGGCAGCATTTATTTGTTGATGTTGTGTTAGAATCGAAATGATATATCCAAATCGGTGATTTTATCGCTTGATTACATTGATAATAAAAAGAAATATTCTTGTTTAAGTTTTATAGAATGTATAGATGGGTAAGGACGGGCTATCTGTCAGTTTGCTGTTAGAAGTTTTCTTCTCTCTTGCTTTGTGCTATATAACTGTGCTTTGCTATATAACCATTAACTTGTTTAGATATTAGTTTGTATTAGTGTGTAAATGTTATATAATATAGTTATATGATTTATTTAGTTATGTAGATTATAATACATGGTGTACATTGCAAATTGTTTTTGTCTGTGTCAGGCCACCAATCTTTAGTTGTATGTTATTTCATGATAGTTATTCCAGATGGTAACAAATATAGACATGAAGAAGGTCACCTCTGTGGCTCAGTCATGATATGACATATACAATCAAACATGATGTAGATATTGAGCAAGTTTGTTTAAATATGAAAAATTGTCCTTTGAAATTGACACTGTTGTCCTATGGATGCTTTTGTAGTTTTTCCAAATTTCTTGTAGATCTTTTTCAAGGTCATGTGACTATACAATTTATATGAGCATTGGAATCATATAGCATTCGTATTGTTATAAAACATTGAGGTATTTGGTAGTTTGTTAATTGATTTTAGTTCATAGAAATTGCATACAGCCAAATGTAGTCATTTGATTTATTTCCTTGAATAAATGACACTGATGGTCATAGTATTATTATATCATATTTTAATTTTGGGTATTTTCAGGTGATGAATCATCATTGGGTAGAAGGCAATTGTTCTGGAAAATGTGACAAGTGTCATAAATCTATAAAATCTTACAATGGGGTCACAGGGCTACATTGTAGATGGTGCCACGTCACAGTAAGTGAAAGTTCTATACATTATATAATATAATTATGATAAAACAATGACACTTTTGTCACATAGACAGTGGCAGGTTGTTTTGTCATATTGAACATCAACATATTGTTATATTGGACTTTTAGGTTATATTTGTTACAATGGACAGTGACCGTTTATATGTAGATGTGACATTGCAACACAAGATTTTATTTGTTAAAGTAAAATGCATAAAAGCGTAGTAAGATAGCAAGCTCTGGGTACAACCATGCTTGTAAAATGTTGAATAAACAGCAGTGCTTCAAATGCATGTTTGTATTGTCTAAAAAGGTTAAGCAAAATGCAACATTTTCTTACGTGACAGCATTGATCTAGATGCTTGCAATAAGATTTTTTTAAATAAAATAAAAGGTATTGATATATAATATACATCTACAAACAGATTTATGTAATGTCTAAATGCAATGTATGGATAAGTATGATTGATATGTTATTTTTTATTTCAAGCTGCACAATAAATGTGCATCACAAGTGAAGCCAGAGTGTGATTTAGGAGATTATCGGGAACATATACTGCCACCAACTGCAATATGTCCAGCAGTTTTAGACAGAAAGACTGGGGAGAAGAAGGTGTTAACTCGGACAGATTCTGCAGTTTTTGATGGCTCTGCTGTAAGAACAAAATAACTGACATATATAATAAATATGTTAAAATCTTGTTGTAGTAGTGGTAAAATTCTTGCAGGTTAAGAATATAACAGTAAATTAGAATTCTCCTCAACTTAGTGTGTTTGTTCATGTGGGTTCACATGTCTGTGTGTGCGTGCATGCTGACAGGTGTATTTGTGGAACTTTGTACAGCCTCAATGCTATGGATTACTTACTATGTGAACACTCATAATACAGTCAAACTTGAGGCACACATGCAAACTTTTTTTTACCATCTGATATATGATACATACCACCTTCCTTGGATTCATTTTGTTGAACTTATTCAGGTCTAATGATGTTATATTGCAATGGCTGGCACTGTTACTTAATAAATCATTTTATTAAGAAATGTAATACAATATTCACCATAAATTGATTCAGAAAAGTTTTGTCAGGTATTGTTTATTGGTGTTATATGATTGTGTAGTGCAAAACTGAGTTTATAATCAATCTTTTTCAGGGTCAGAGTTCATTTCAGATAAGTCCAGTTGAAAATGCTCAGCCATTGTTAGTGTTTGTGAATCCAAAAAGTGGTGGTAAACAGGGTAGCAAGTAAGTGTATCCATGATCTGAAGCATGTAGTGTTTGTAAACATTTAATTGAAGTAAATTATCAGCTTACATTTTGTAAGAATTCTGCTTGTGTTTGTTTTGTGAACAAAAACAAAATAGTTAAAATTATGTGTGAGCAATTACATTCCTTGTATATGGCCCTGTATCATGTTTGTACAAATACTTCTGGAAACTAAAGCTGCAATGAACACAAATATACATGAAGATACATAGTGACAAATAATGAATATCTGTGAATGTGAACACAAATAATATTCAGTGTACCAAATACATGAGTGTATCATAGACAGCACTGATGGAAACTAATGCTAGTAGCCTTGACCATCAGTATAGAACAAGGCCAGCCTTTACATCTGTATATATTTCTATATGCCAAAAACACTTTGGTCCACCCCAGTGTCACTTGATTTATATAAAACTATTTAGGAAGACTTATTTAAGTCTTATTGTGTGAAACTACAAAGCCAAGAGCTTAGATATTTGGCATGTAGCATCAATTTGTAGATTTCTACAAAAGGTATATTAATGAATTATGCACTTGGGGTTAAAAACGCCTCTACCTTGGAAGTGATAAAGTATCATAAGGATATATAAGGTAAAACATTTTTCAGACAATTTTCTTGATTGGGTCTCTATCCTAATTGGAAGATTATTTTTGATTACTCAAATAAATTTACATTTGGCCGTATATTGCCCTGCCTTTGTGGTGCTCTTGTTGGATGTAGAAATGCCTATATCAATATAGATAACTATAGGCATTGTAAAAGAAAAATGAAACTTCTGGGCTAAATATTTTTTTTAGATTGACTTGAAATATTTGTATATTTACCTGTGTGTTCAAATGACTTAATTAAGAAACTGCTTCTAAATATCAATACATATCAACTTGGCTGATGGACAATGAAATAACTTGTGTAAATTTAAATTTCAGAATAATGCGTAAATTCCAATATCTACTAAATCCAAGACAAGTATATGATTTGATGAAGGGTGGACCACAAGTTGGGTAAGTTATATTGTAGATTTATTGTAATGATGTATACTGATCATGTTTGGCAATCATCCACCCAGATATAATGATATAATCAAGTTTTATTGGGATGATATATTGTACTAACTGATACAAGTATATGTCCCCAGTGTGCTCATTATCAAATTGTTTAGACATAAAAGTGCAACACAATTGTTCCATAGATAGATTGAACAGTTGTGGTCTTAATACTGGATCACAAAATATCTCTGCAAACATTTTACTATTTTTAAGTCAAACTAAGTCTTGTATGAATATAAAAAAGTTATCCTGCCCTTATAAACCACTCTTATTTTCCCTTTATTTGAGTCACATTATATTTGATTCCTTGAGGACAAAAAAAAACAACAATTTGTCACAAAAATATTTATAAAGAATATACACCATTAATAAAATATTTTTGCAGGTTGCAGTTCTTCAAAGACGTTAAATATTTTAGAATCCTTGTATGTGGTGGTGATGGCACTGTAGGTTGGTTGCTAGAGGCCATGGGTAAATATCAGTATTCATTTATTACAAGAATATACCTCAAGATACTGGCTCCTCTAAGTTTGATATTCTGTTAAGTTAAATTGTATATTCTTTATAAAATTTATAGCAGGTGTCAGAACAAATACTGGAATCAGTATTCCAATATCTGGTTTGCCATATTTGAATATATTAGAATATATGATTTTGATTATTAGCTAACTGTTTTCATCTGAATGTTGATATGTGAGTACTAATTAGACTGTTTTATTGAGCCCAGTATTGTTAGGAAAACATTTGTAATACAATATAAAGAACCAAATGATGTATTAACAAACATTCTAACAGTACCCTCATTTTTCCCCATTGAACATACATGTAGAAGAACCGTAAGTGTGTGTTATTATGCAATAAAATCACTGTTTGATGCATGTGACGTAATCATTATACACATGATGTAACCACTAAAAATGCGGTGTGCTGAAAATAAGTACGGAAACAAATCAGGCGCATTTTAGGTTAATATCATGTACGGCAGCCTTTATATGTTAATGTCGTGTTAGAATTAAAATAATATATCCAAATCAGTGATTTTATCGCTTGATAAAATCACTTTGTCGTTCGGGTGTGCATCATTATATCACTCGGGCTTCGCCCTCGTGAGATAATTCCTCTCATCTGAACTCCAAACAGTGATTTTATTGAGTGTTTAAATCACTGTTTGGGATATATTATTTCTCAAACAAAATTGATTTTATTAAGGAAATAGGTATCAATTTTGAGTGCATTGTTATAGAGTAATGCATAATGGTAAGTAATTTTTGATTATTCGGCAGTATTGTAGAGCCTTGTAGAACAAAGCAGTTCACTTTCCTTCCTTGTTGTTCATTTTCTTTTTATTATTTTTAGATAAACTGAACTTTGAACCTCAACCTCCTGTTGCTGTGTTACCCCTTGGGACTGGAAATGACCTTGCCAGATGTTTACATTGGGGTCGAGGTAATAAAATATGATACTGTAGGTAGGGAAAACAAACACACACTAATAAGATAGATAATTGTCACACATCCATCATGTCTTTAAGTTTGTGAAACAAAAACTGTATTGAGGAATATTTGCCATTCTTTTCTAATAGAACACATTAGAAGAGACATCTATTTGCATTTAATAAGGAACAGTATATGCTTGATAATTATGACAACAACGTGACTATTTTGTTTGTTTTCCGGATGTATGTTGTTGCACTTACATTACTGTATATTGTTTGTTTGTAGGTTATGAGGGTGAAAGTTTACATAAAGTGTTAGATCGAATCTTGCGGGCAGAAACTATATTGATGGATAGATGGCAGATAGAGTTCAGTAAGCCGGAAGATTGCGAGGAGGAACAAGGCGATCCAGTACCTTATAATATAATCAATAATTATTTCTCTATTGGTGTAGTAAGTATTGTTCACCTATATTGTTCATACATTTGAGATTTTATGTAATACATTAGTAATATGCCTGGTTATATCTCTATTTGTAATATTTGATACATGTCAGTGCACATCAAATGAAGGTCATCAAGTTTGTGAAAAGGAACCCTCATATGAATATAATCTAAATAATCTGAGTCTAAACTTAATTTATGATGTCCGTAGATGGTCTATTTTTAAAACTATACAGATAAATCTAGGTACAGATATCTTGTAGGTTAATAGAGTAACATAGTGTCATAGTGTTCTTCTGTTTATATTACCATTTTTATTAGCTATGATGTCTAATCATAAATGTATGTTTTATGATTTCAGGATGCCTCAATATGTCATAGATTCCATCTCATGAGAGAAAAACATCCGGAAAAATTCAATAGCAGGTGAGACAACATTAAATGTACTTAATGTTATTTCTTCTTGTAATAATTCAATTGCTGGCAGCAAGACATTGTTTATATTAAACTTGTTTTTTGTATTATTCATTTAATGTGATAAGAAAAAATGTATATCTTGAATATCAGTTTATTGTATGACACAATGAAGATGATGTACATATATTATCTTTCCATTTGGTGCATGATAAATAAGTAATGTAAGTACAGGATGATAGTTATCAGGTAATGAATGTGAACATTATGTCATCCATCAATATAAACATTGCTTATTACAGAAAGCTGATTAAAGAATGATTTAGAACAATTTTTGTTATTTTAGAATGAAAAATAAGTTGTGGTATTTTGAATTTGGAACATCCGAGACATTAGCAGCCACTTGTAAGAATTTACATGAAGATATAGACATTATGGTAAGTTTAAATCATAAAGAAATACCTAAATGTGAAAAACAAAATTGATACAGGGCTATAATTTGTACAATCTTGCTAGAGGTCACTACAAAATGTTTCATGCAATTTTTTTGCCTACATGAAGCAATTCTATATTGGCTTTGACATAAGATTTGATAATGGTTCTGATTGCAATTTAATATCTCATTATAACTACAGACGATATTCAGTTGAAACTTTGCCTATAGCACAAGCATGGATTCTTAATGAAATATTCACATCTGTGAAAAAAAAAATCTGCTAACAAACACTATATATGGTTGTTGATCATCAATATTATTTTTTGATAATTTAGAATTGTAAATTTTACTTTCGCTACAATAAATAAGATAATTTAATGTATGCATGAATGTTTGAGTGTTAAAGGGAGATAAGATCTGTTATAACAAGGCAAAGAACTGATATAATATTTATAAAGACAATCACTGTTTATTTCCCTTTAGTGTGATGGCTATTCATTAGATTTAGCAAATGGTCCGTCACTGGAGGGTATAGCATTATTAAACATACCTAGCATATATGGTGGAACTAACCTCTGGGGAGATAATCCTAGCCAAAAGAAGAGAAGAAAAGCTCAGAAACAAATGAAGAAAGACAAAGATAAAGAGTTATCTACAAGTAGCATGTCCTCTATAGAACTTGGCATTGCAGTTCAAGGTACAAAACTAATTCCTACAATTTTATGTTAGCATAATTTAGTTTTCCAGCATCTTTTCACTACAAAGCAGGCAAGCAGAATGTGTAAATAACTTGTTAAATTAACTCAAAATATGCCAAATAGTTCACAAAGAATCCAAAAAACATGCCATTATATATCATATCAGTCAGTTAATTTCTGACCTTGACTTGTACTTCCAAATTTGAGACCAAAATTATCTCAACCAAATGTCAATTTTTAACCAAACTTTTAATGAATATTCTTGTTTTTCTTTTGCTTAAAAGAACGGGCCTTTCAAATTCAAGATTTTGTTTTTGTGTGATATAAAGTAAATATTGTAAACATGTTCACAGTAAGTGTGACTATTTACAGATGTTGGTGATAAACAGATTGAAGTTGTTGGATTAGAGAACTCTATGCATGCAGCCCAGGTGTATGCTGGACTTCGAGCTTCGGGAAAACGTCTTGCTCAGTGCTCTTCTGTTGTCATCAGGTGAGTTATACATGACACGTAACATTAATGTCAAGTAAAGACGACATATATTAAACTGTCACTGAGTACTTGCATGTTATTATACCCCAAAAACGAAGTTTGGGGGGGTATATAGGAGTCACCCGGTGGTCGGTCGGTCCAGACGTCCGTTGCATTTTCCTTGTCCGGAGCATAACTTGAAAACTAATGGTTGGAATTCAATATAACTACATACAATGGTCAAGCACATTGAGAGGAAGTGCAGTGCACAAGAACCATAACTCTATCTTGACTAATTACAGAGTTATTGCCCTTTGTTACTTTTCCTTGTCCGGGGCATAACTTGAAAACTACTGGTTGGACTTCAAAACAACTTCATACAATTGTCAAACACAATAAGGGGAAGTGCAGTGCACAAGAACCATAACTCTATCTAAAGTAATTACAGAGTTATTGCCCTTTGTTGCTTTTCCATTGCTTTTTTTTTTTGTCCGTTGCATTTCCCTTGTCCTGAGCATAACTTGAAGACTAATGGTTGGAATTCAATATAACTACATACAATGGTCAAGCACATTGAGAGGAAGTGCAGTGCGTAAGGAACATAGCTCTATCTTGACTAATTACAGAGTTATTGCCCTTTGTTACTTTTCCTTGTCCGTGGCATAACTTGAAAACTACTGGTTGGAATTCAAAACAACTTCATACAATTGTCAAACACAATAAGGGGAAGTGCAGTGCACAAGAACCATAACTCTATCTAAAGTAATTACAGAGTTATTGCCCTTTGTTGCTTTTCCATTGCCTTCTTCTTTTTTTTTCCGGACCATAACTTGAAGACTAATGGTTGGAATTCAATATAACTACATACAATGGTCAAGCACATTGAGAGGAAGTGCAGTGCATAAGAACCATAACTCTATCTAAAGTAATTACAGAGTTATTGCCCTTTGTTACTTTTCCATTGCTTTCTTTTGTCCGGACCATAACTTGAAGACTAATTGTTGGAATTCATTATAACTTCATACAATGGTCCAGCACATTGAGAGGAAGTGCAGTGCACAAGAACCATAACTCCATTTTGACTTATTACAAAGTTACTGCCCTTTGTTTCTTTTCCTTGTCCAGAGCATGACTTTAAAACTACTGGGTTGGAATTCAAAACAACTTCATACAATGGTCAAGCACAATAAGGGGAAGTGCAGTGCACAAGAACCATAACTCCATCTTGACTAATTACAGAGTTATTGCCCTTTGTTACTTTTCCATTGCTTTCTTTTGTCCGGACCATAACTTGAAGACTTATTGTTGGAATTCATTATAACTTCATACAATGGTCAAGCACATTGAGAGGAAGTGCAGTGCATAAGAACCATAACTCCATCTTGACTAATTACAGAGTTACTGCCATTTGTTACTTTTCCTTGTCCAGAGCATGACTTGAAAACTACTGGTTGGAATTCAAAACAACTTCATACAATGGTCAAGCACAATAAGGGGAAGTGCAGTGCACAAGAACCATAACTCCATCTTGACTAATTACAGAGTTATTGCCCTTTGTTACTTTTCCTTGTCCAGAGCATAACTTGAAAACTACTATTTGGAATTCAGTACAACTTCATACAGTTGTCAAGGACATTAAAAGGAAGTGCAGTGCACAAGAGCCATAACTCCATTTGACAAAATACAGAGTTACTGCCCTTTGATACTTTTCCTTGTCTGGAGCATAACTTAAAACATACTGGTTGGAATTCAAAACAACTTCATACAATGGTCAAGCACAATAAGAGGAAGTGCAGTGCACAAGAACTATAACTCTATCTTCAGTATTTATAGAGTTATTGCCCTTTGTTCTTTTTCTTTGTCTTTCTGGACTTATTACAGAGTAATTCAATTAAACTTCATCAATGGCCAACCACATTGAAAGGAAATGCAACATACATGAACCACAATTATCTTTAATTGCCCACAACCATAACTCTATGTTTCAATTCTTTTACAAGGTATTCTGTTACTAGTAACATCCTCATTTCCGAAGCAGACTTGTGGGGGTATTAATCACATTTAGTGATAGTTCTAGTTTTCCTAATCAAACAATTACAATCAGGGTTGTCATTAACATTTTTTGCAGAAGGTTTGTTTTAAACTTGAGGCGGTCATTTCTGTCTTTATAATGCATAACAAAGAGTGTTTTCTTAATTTTGAGGCGGCCCATAATGCATTTGAGACAGGCATTTTGGCCTCCTGCCGCCTCTTAATGACAACCCTGACAATACAGTATTGTGTCATCACTGGTCTTTATAGATAAGTTGGACTGTAGCTATGGGTAAATCAAATACATGTATATATTTCAATATGAGGATTTGGTCGGCTTAAGTCACACAAACATTTGAACATGTACTGATGAAGGAAGGCCACTGGTACCCATTTTTTGCACTCTTTCCTGCAAGTACAGATACCAGAGAGGAACCAGTAGATATGAAATCAAGGCTATCTAGCAATTACTTTTAGATGACTTCATCAGTTGAAACATGTAATTTTGGTTATAATTTATTTCTATTCTTGTACATAATGTATAGCAAATAACACATGAAATCAAACTTTTTTGCAGGATAAGTTTTGAAAAAATTTCTGTCATTTTGAAAATTGTATTGTTATTTATTGTAGGACTCGGAAGCGATTTCCAATGCAGATTGATGGTGAACCATGGATGCAGCCACCCTGCACTGTAAATATCTACACTTGTTATATCTTATATTTTGTTATCTACAGTCTAGCCTATAAATAGATATATATATGTGTATGGCGTTTTCTTTTACAAAAAGCTGTTAATTTGAGGAAAATACAGTAAAAAGAATAATTGCACTTGCCTCTTATGGTGTTTAGAAGTTTGTTTTACAACTTGCTTAAAGTAATACACTAATTGCTCGAATTTTCGAACCTGATCTCAAGTCCCTTCAGCAGAAATATAGTAAAAATCACAACTTTTCTATGGAACACAAAAAGACACATAAGTTACAAGTTAACTTGCTTTCATATACCAGGTAATGCATACATGTACGATTATTGACTAGTTTTACATGTATACGATAATTGGCTAGATTTATGTGATAATTGGCTAGATTTATGTGATAATTGACTAGATTTATAAGATAATTGACTAGATTTATAAGATAATTGACTAGATTTATATGATAATTGACTAGATTTATAAGATAATTGACTAGATTTATATGATAATTGACTAGATTTATATGATAATTGTCTAGATTTATATGATAATTGACTAATTTTATATGATAATTGACTAGATTTATATGATAATTGACTAGATTTATATGATAATTGACTAGATTTATATGATAATTGACAAGATTTATATGAAGAACATATTACCAGATTTATTTTAATCGTACATGATTATTTATTACAGATCTCTGTGACTCATCATAATCAAGTCCCTATGATGATTGGCCCTCCTTCCAGAAAGAAATCCTCTATATTTAAACTTTTCAAGATTTAATGGTAAGGTTATACTTTAATATTTTGGAAGATAAGTACTTAAAAATACTTTTGGTCAATGTAAAGTAGTTACATTTAATACATTTCATTGTTCTATTATGATAGTGATGCCAATAATGATGTACAGTCTACTCTACCTATAACAAGATCACTTTTAACTAGGTAACGCTTATAACATAGAATCTACTGTATCCCGGCCTTTATCTCCTATTTACCTTCTTTTTTTAACGAGATCGGTTTTAGCGAGATATCAGTTACAATGTACATATATTTGCCATTCTATGCGTATTTTCCCAAATTTTAATGAGGTCACTTCATTGGCACGTTGTCTGCATCAGTTTTTCACCTTCAGAAAACAGTGGTCAATTACTGTGTTTGTGAGAAAAACACTACATGAATTTTGGAAACAAAATTTAAAATGTACATAATGATAAAAACACACACAGTAAATTAGGCGTAGTATGTGTTTTTAAAAGTTTCATTGAAATTCCATAATAGCTAGATATATTTTTATATATTTAATTAAAGGGTAATAAAGTTCAGAGAGTCACCTCCCATTATGTACTCTTCAAAAAGAGTATACGCAAAAGCGAAAGTAGAAATAAATGATGCTCGATAGTGTTGGATTTTTCAATTTCTTATGTCCCGGTTATAATGAGGCCTGTTTATAACGACTCATTAACGAGGAACCATGCGAAGTCCCGACGATCTCGTTGTATCTGGAGTACACTGTATATTGCCTTAGATTACTGAAAAGATAACTGATACAAAATTATATACCATCTACTTGCTTTCATTTATACTTATGCTTTTCAGAAAATATTGAAATTTATCTAAAGTTAACAGAAAAAAAAAAGCCTTTATGTTTCTGGGTAAGAAGGCGAGTCATTGTTTAGTTTTTAGTTTTGATTTATATTTTTATATTAAACTTGGTGATGTCTGACCAATTTCAATACAAAAACTGTAAAATATGATGATAAATATAAATAATATAAAAGTAGGGCATCCTACTTTGTATTAAATGTGATATGTAAATATTACATTCAATTTGAATGGTATAAATGGTTTATTTTCAGACTGTATCTCCTTGACCTGCAGTTGCTCATCTGTTCTCATTACAGACTACAAACATACTCACATCTATAAATACCAGCCAATCAACTTCAGGGAAAACTTTCACTTCATGTCACATGATTTCTCGTGACCAATCAGTATGCTTTATGAAACTTTGGTGTTTTTTTTTTTCTTTTCTTTTTTTTTTCTTTTTAGATCTTGTGTACTTTTTTATATTGATGTACATTTTCTATCATAAAATGCTTTTAACATTAATAAACATTTAGTATAAATGTTAGTACAGTACTATGTATATGTAGATAATTGTGTATGTGTACAAATAATGTATATGTCAATGACATGAATTAGATTAGTAGCTTGGCCATAAGCTATGTAATCAAGTTGATGTTTGTTACTATGTAAAATGCAATATACTGAAATATTTTTTTTTGTCATTTGTTATTTATTTGTTAATGACATACAATTTTAGATAATATTGAGTTGTTTTTATACATATTTGTTAATGATTTTTAAAGTTGTGAATTGTTATATTGTATGTTTCTGGAGAATGAATTTATATCTATTATCTACATTAGAAAGCAAATGTTCAAAATATAAATGTGTTGTTAATTATAGTTGTTTACAAAAATACAGATATCTGTATCAGTTTACCAAAAAAAAAAGAAATTGATCCAATAAATAAAAAGAAGGTAAAGTAGGAAAAAAAGAGGAGTTTTCAGTAAATCAGATTAGATGTTGATGAGATCTTCAGTCCTATTACTGGTTTACATTTTCATAGTTTTGTTAATTTAGACCCTTAGTTAATTGCGAGAAATGAAAATAAAAAAGATTAAAAGAAGATTTTGCAAAATGTTTTTACTGAATAGCATCTTAAAGGTTTATTTGACAAGTTAAAGATTTAAAGAAAAAAATGCTGATAAACTGGTATTCAAAATATTGGTTAGATTTTACACAGAAATTCCAAGTACATTTTATTTGCTAGGGACCTAAGGTATCCAACTTGAAATTACAATGATCTTGTTTGAATGTCTGTTCCTGGTTTGATCATTGCTATCACAGAGTAAAATTTGACCAATCATGAAGCTGCATTATTAAACTGATTCCCATTCTCAGTTTTAGAACTTAGCTGTAATCAGAAATATAAATATCAAAATAAAATAAAAATACATGGACAGTGAGCTGTCCCTATACATCATTTCATAAACTGAAACAAACAGTACATGTACAGTGAGCTGCCCCGCTCATCATTTCAGAGAAGGTGAAACAGACAGAAGTACTTGAACATTGACCACACATACTTTTATTTACCATGTTTTTATGTGCAGGGTATTGATACAATCTTAGATGTTGGCTCATTTAAATTTTTATAATCACACAATATGATAAATTTGATATTTTAATGATAACATTTAATTATAGCATGTTAGATATTTATTGGACTTTCATGAATATATAAAGCATTATGTACAGGTAGATATTTTACTTGTATGTTATTTGCTATACATTGTCTCCTGTTTTTGCCTCATCTTGCTAAGCTATTTTTAGAGATTATTTCATGATATAGTTTTGAGAGGGAAGGCCATTGAAATATATTTGTTTGTTTTTATCTAGGAAAGGGTTGTTAGAGATGATTAGTTAAATTTCTTACATTTATATTCATTTATATATAATATTTTTGGAAGTAGATCTTATCATAAATAATAACATTTTAAACAGATGTTCATTTCTCACTATCGACAAAATATGTTTTCTTTTGAATCATTATTACTTCTCAAAGCTTTGGCAACAACAACTGAAGACAGAACAATGATATGCTGCATAGCTTTCTTTAAATATAATATTATGATATGTGTATGCTTAACTAGTAAATCAGTTTAGTAGAACTTTGCACTTTTTGTTATAAATTAACCTCATGTATACATAAAGTATAAATGTCCAGTCATTGGTCTGTCAACCTGTCACTTTATATCCATGCCTTCTTCTAAAAACATTTTACAAATCACAAGACCAATACAGATCAAATATCTCAGGAATTTTCCCTAGATTACATTTTCTCAGATTCCTTGAGATTGAGGTCATTATTTCATAAATTTGTAGCAGAAGAAAAAGACTTGGCTTTCCAATATAATTTTTACAAGAAGGTAGAATGTGAAATTCTTGATGTTATTTGGTTATATGGAAATACAACATTGTAAAGTTTTAATTTAAAAAATCAAAAGCTATAGATTTTATCATTGTCCTGTCAGAAGCAGCAGATCTGAAGTTAAAATATCAAAATGATCATCATTTACTACCATTTCAAAATTTTTTTCTATTGTCTGGGTTTGACATTTTTCTGGAGGAAAATACAAAATACTTATTGCTTGATATCACTGTATCACAGTTGATTGTTCCAGGACCATGAGGTGTTCATGTACAAACATGGATCCCAGGACCATGATTTGTTTGTGTACAAACATGGATCCCAGGACCATGATTTGTTCGTGTACAAACATGGATCCCAGGACCATGATTTGTTCATGTACAAACATGGATCCCAGACCCATGATTTGTTCGTGTACAAACATGGATTCCAGGACCATGATTTGTTTGTGTACAAACATGGATCCCAGGACCATGATTTGTTCATGTACAAACATGGATCCCAGGACCATGAGGTGTTCATGTACAAACATGGATCCCAGGACCATGATTTGTTCGTGTACAAACATGGATCCCAGGACCATGATTTGTTCATGTACAAACATGGATCCCAGGACCATGAGGTGTTCATGTACAAACATGGATCCCAGGACCATGATTTGTTCGTGTACAAACATGGATCCCAGGACCATGAGGTGTTCATGTACAAACATGGATCCCAGGACCATGAGGTGTTCATGTACAAACTAGGATCCCAGGACCATGATTTGTTTGTGTACAAACATGGATCCCAGGACCATGATTTGTTCGTGTACAAACATGGATCCCAGGACCATGATTTGTTCATGTACAAACATGGATCCCAGACCCATGATTTGTTCGTGTACAAACATGGATTCCAGGACCATGATTTGTTTGTGTACAAACATGGATCCCAGGACCATGATTTGTTCATGTACAAACATGGATCCCAGGACCATGATTTGTTCATGTACAAACATGGATCCCAGGACCATGATTTGTTCGTGTACAAACATGGATCCCAGACCCATGATTTGTTCCTGTACAAACATGGATTCCAGGACCATGATTTGTTCGTGTACAAACATGGATCCCAGGACCATGAGGTGTTCATGTACAAACATGGATCCCAGGACCATGAGGTGTTCATGTACAAACATGGATCCCAGGACCATGAGGTGTTCATGTACAAACATGGATCCCAGGACCATGATTTGTTCGTGTACAAACATGGATCCCAGGACCATGAGGTGTTCATGTACAAACATGGATCCCAGGACCATGAGGTGTTCATGTACAAACTAGGACCATGAGGTGTTCATGTACAAACTAGGACCATGAGGTGTTCATGTACAAATGAATTTTTTTCTTTTTGAATAATAATAGATTTATTTAATTAAACATGTAATGAAATCTATATAAAATATTTCAATTTTCTCTAGTGTTACAAATCCGTTAAAGGTTTTATATATATTTCAACTAGTGTATTAGCTTGTTCTACATTATAGGGCTACTGACCATCTCATGTCAACTGTTTATTGTAGCTATTTATGAAATAAATACACAAGCTCACATGTATGTCCCTTTAAAATTCTTTGTAGTCAAACAGAAAACTTTTTTGTTTTCATAATTGGTCCCTAATGATCTGAAAGTGGTTTTAATTTGTCAAGAAGGGAATTAGAGTTAATCTCTTAATTGCACAACTGAAAAAGTCTTATTGACCAGTGTTTGTGTAAACCAGTGAAGCAGTTTCACAAAGGTTCAACTAAATATTATCTCAGATTTTTAAGCATGTATATGTAGTTTTTGTTCACTAAATGAACCTTAATATTCTTGATGTTTATAGTTACATTATTACAATTTCAATGTTGTTAGAAAAATGAAGTACATTTAGGTAATTATGTAGGACAAGGGTTTATATAAATTTAATGCTTTACAATGGGGATCCTTGTAAGAGGAATATGTTATGCTATAAAACTATTTACAACAGGCATTAGTCGCTGCTTTTATATAAAGTTGTTTTTCATATGTTTTAATTCTATTTAACATATATATATTTTTTTTAAAATTATTTCTTGATAGCTTTTGTTTGCAAGGATTTTTTTTACTGTTCAATCCATTTAATCAGAAGTGTATGTAATTAACCTTTAATCTTTAAAAAATTATACATTGTAAATTATATGACATTCATCTCAATAGTGAACAGAATGTATTTTTCATGTTTAGGTAATATATAAGTTATGTTGTTAAAGTAAAAAATAGGAGAATAAATATGTTAGGATAAACCTTGTATAGAACTATAATATACAACTCTCATAATTCCATCCAGCTAATTTCCATCTTGTATCTTGCTGAATTTGTACAATGAATTTGCCCGCCATTTAATTAGGAAAGATCACTACAAGAGTCAAATACAAAACTGAGGTAACAGATATAGAGCCAGGTTAGACATCAAGGATGTGCAGTCTGGCCTGGATCCCTGCTGGGGGCAATGGTTAATCAATTTTGGTTCAATGTTCAGGTGCTTAATACGTACTTATAATTTTGCTTACAATTTCAGCTGCATTTCCTAGTTGTTTATAAAATTCTGTTCACATTTTATATTTATAGAATACAATAATATGCTAATTATTTACTAGGTTATTTTTCTGTATGCCTCATTCTTGACTGAATGTTTTGTATAACTATTTTTGTAATGGCAGCTATTGTAGATCTTTTTGTAGTCTTGACTAAGTGATTATTAGTGCTTGTTTGTCATTAAGGTTATAAAACTGGAGAAATGTAAGTCAATATCAGATACTGGCATCTGATTGGATAATTTTGAGTACAGTCTCTTATTGTGGCATTTGATTGGTTGATTCTGGGTACAGTCTCAAATTTGTGCACATGATTTATTGATTCAGGATAAAGAATCAGAATCTAGCCTTTGATAGGTTGGTTCTTAGAATAAACTCTAACTACTGATTGGTTGTTTTTGAATACAGTTTCAAACTCTCTCCTCTGATTGGTTGTTTTGAACCATATGTCTTCAACATATTTCCAGTTTACTTTAGGAATAGTTCCCCTTCTCATTAAAAGTTGAAAACTTCCTTACATTGCAAGTCCATTTATTTTCAAACAAATTCATTTGAATGTTTTGTTCACTTGTTGAATTACGACCTTTTTGTCCAATTCTTGTTAATACTCGTCTATTTTATATCATGACAAAATATAAAGTATAAATAAGATATATATCAAAGCATAAGTGCAGGTCTGTCGTGTTTTGATCCAAGTCAACTTCATCTTCTAATATTGACAATAACTAGATATAGAGAACTGTTTATTCAGGTGGATCTAAAATATTATAACACTGGAACATTATGTAAAACAAATTTTATAATCTTTGTCCATGCAATAAGATTAGGGTGGAATGATGTTTATGGAAAAAATGATATGAAAAATGTAACTTCATCTTTGTGGTTGTTTGTTGAACATTATTTGCTCAATGTATGTTACTGTATACCTTTTATTACTGAAAAAAACAACAACACTAATAAAATGTGTTTCATTTATTGAGTAAAATATTGCACAGATTGGTCAGAGATGGTAAAGTACACCAATATGGTTTGTAACATTGGAACCTATGGACCTTATTTTATATTTACAATACATCTTGATTCAATTTAGTTCTCCACATATTTGTGTATTATGTTTGTAGATAATAACATCATGTCAATGGTGCAGAGATTTCTCTAAGATAACTTGTATATACATATACACCTCCTATACACTATAATAATATAACTGCTGTTTACTCCATGTTTACAAGTCTATATTGTTGTATATTTTGCCTCTTATTAACCAAAAACAAACATTAACTATCAAGGGTTGTCTGTTTTACTTGTTACTGTAGCAAATTTAATCCTCTTGGGAAGTTTTGGAAACTTAATATCAGTCATGGAGAATGTAGGCAAACATTTGATATTTAGTGTTAGATCTTTCAGAGCTGGTTGTGTAAAATCCATATATTTGTGCTTTCCTGTGGATTACTTTATGACATTATTTTAAATCCTTTTCATTTTCACACATGGTCATATGTTCCTGCTTACAAAAGGTTGGAAATTAGGTTTATAACACATACCTGGATTAAATTCGCAGATTTCGGATGCAGGCGTCATGTATTATATAGATCTGTCGCTCACTCCACCAGTCAGGTCCTCAGTTACATCTGTAGACTGGAAGACTATATAGGCAGTGCCATTTGTGCTGATAGTTTTTGTTGTAAGTGCACTATTTAATGGTATATAATTAGATAGTAGCTTGGACAGTTTTCATAAATGCGACATTACTAATGTTTTTTATTTAAAGTAGATTATATGTGCTTGTCATTAACATGATAACTCTCAATATATTAATAAGTTTTCATCTTACAAACTTTATGTATGTATATGTTGAAGATTGCTAAATAAATTCTAAAAATCAGTTTCTTTTATTTTATAAACTTATAATACACTATAATTGTTTCATGCGTCAGGTGTACTTTTGACAAAAGGTTCTAATATGAGTAATTGTACCTCCCCGGAAGTGCCCTGGATGACTTGAATAGAAAGTAATTAGTTTTATGTACGTTAAATAAGATGGTTACACCTTGATGTGTATAATTACATTTGTACTGAAGATTAACATTTGGTACACTGTCCACTGTCCATCATAATAAAAAAATATCGTTTGAACAACTGGTAAGGGATTTGCTCATGGCAAAAAATACAAATTTATTGTTTGTCAAGAAGGATCTTTAAAATGTTGAAAACATTTGATATGATATAAACACCGAATAAATATGTCAAAATAACTAGGGAATTGTACAACAGTAAAGCCGAATCGGCTGAAACAGAAACATGGTAAGTAAATGGTCCGATATATCTTATATTATTAAATAAAAAAGAAGAAATGATTAAGTGCATATGGCTGCTAAGACATGTTTAAATCACATCTAAAAAAGAGGAAAATGTTTGATAATCAAGATAATTCGTGAGAGTGGCCTGGTTACCATAAGGAAGATGAAATGAGTTTCTTTATTAATATAGTTGCACATATATTACTTTATTGTTTTAGATATTCAGTGTCCATGTAAAATTTACCGAACTACATGTGTTATATAATAAAATAAACAGATAACATGTGACAACCACTTATAAATGATACACCGAGGCATCACTCATAAAACTGTTATCACATTTTGTCTGCTTCCATTGAGAGTTATATGTCACCAGTACATCATTGAGAGTTATATGTCACCAGTACATCAGGCCTACCATTGAGAGTTATATGTCACCAGTACATCAGGCCTACCGAAATTTTATTTATTAAATAATAACGAAGAAACACAGACATCGCCTTCAGTACGGGAGCCAAGGAACACGGCTTTCTGTACGGTGATAAAACAACAAAAGCCACATCTCATGAAATAAATTCGAGTATTCAGAAAAATGTCTGCATTTGACCAAGGATATAAATTACAGTCTGTTTCACACATGCCATGAAAAGAAATACAGTTTATAAATATATGTATAATATTCATAATTATTTATTCTGATATTTGTAGGGGCAAAGGGCCAACTCTTTCAAAATTAACTGCCAATAATGGGGAAAAATAATAGACAAAGGGAAGTAGTTCTTTCAAAATCGAAGTTAAACTTCTAATTCTGTTTAGTTCCCCTATAGATGTTTCTTAAGTTTTCTAAACCATGAAGGCAAATTGACGTTGGGGAACATAATTTTCTTAAACTTAATATGATGAAAGAGAATAACAGTTGAAACGATTTATGAAGAAAAAATTGGTATCACCATCCTATTTATGAGATATCTGCCTCTGATTTTATTTCAATCTGTTTAGTTAATTTTAAGAGCAGATAACTGAAAGTCAAGTATACCGATACCTTATTTTATTTCAAATTATTTTTTTTAGGAGAAGAATTTCATAAGACATGTTGTCTTTCATTCTAATCCTGTTTTTTAAGAAGATTTGAATTGCTCTCTGTATATTGTGAATTATAACATGTATATATATTCTGAGAAATAAAATATGTTTAAACTAAACTAAATTATTTTTTTCTTTTTTTACTCTATTTTGAGTATTATGCAAAGTTTAAACCAATTTCATTGAATATACATTTTGCAATGCTTCAATGAGTTAACAACCTTCTGCAATTTTCCTCAAAAAGGAAGGAAAAAACGGAAGAAACTTGACCATCTCCATTAAAATAAAGAGTAAAATCA